AAATTGTGTGTGTGTGTGTGTGTGTGTGTGTGTGTAGAGCGGATGTGAAGGTCAATGGGGAGTGTGAGTTTAAAGGTCTTTTGGGGATGGTATATGTATCTTTGGTGGAGGGGGGAGGGGGGTGGTGTGTATGTGTGTCCAGCCTTCATCTGGATCTCAAGGATCCTGTGACCCCACAAAGCTAGCTCTGAATCTCCCTTTTGTTCTACTCCTTGTCCTTGAAGATACAGTTCAGGAGTCACCTTCCCGGAGCCCTCAGTCTACCCCGGCAAGCTTGCTCCCTCCGGGTGGAGATGCCCAGCATACTCTCTCATCATTCTCTCTCCTGCATGCCCTGCGCACCCTTTATCACAGCATTTCTCTATTTATCCTGTAGTGATTTTGATAGGGGCAGAAATAGAATATTGGAAACCAGCTATAATGGTAAGAAATATTAACCATGCTCTGTTAACTGTGATTGTTTTGTTCTGGTTAAAGAAGGCGCATTCTAACCTGGCTGGGCGTTGCACGTGGGATCTGGGAGCTCACCTGGAAATTCAGCCCATGGCCCACCCTCCCCATCTGTACCCTTTTGCCTACTTCCCCACGTGATCTTTGTCCTTCTACCCAATATAAGCAGCTGGCTATGCTGGGGGGCAGAGCAGATTTTTGTGGACGACCTGCTGCTCTCCCATGCTGCCGGCATTATTGGAATAAACGCTCATATGATTCAACCCTGTCTCTGCTTAATTGACTCAAGTAGTGACAGGCAGCACGGACCCATTGATTGTCCGGTTATAATTTCTTCCTGGGCTGCCTCCCCCATTAACCCAGAAGCTCTCTAGGGTGGAACCAAGTGTTAACAGTCTCTAGCTTGCCGGCACCTGGCACAGGGCAGGCTTTCAGTGACTATGTAAGGGAGGAAGGACTGCATGAGCTAAGCCATGCGGGCACAGGATTCACAGGGTCCCTCAGGCCACAACCCGAACAAGGACTGTGCCCAGGGGTTGCAAGTGGGGCAAGCCAGAACTGTGGCTACAAAGTGGAGGACCTTGCAGGACCTTGGGTTTTTTAACATGGAATCTGCACTCTCCCAATGGCTCCTTCCTAGGTCTCCACCCCATCTGGTGCTTGCCTTTCATACTCTCTCCTCCAGCCACACCGCACTGTTCTCCACTCCTGGAACCCACCATGCTCCATCTCCCAGGCTCTGCATGCCCGTTCCTGGGGCCCTGATTTCCCCTATCCCGCACCTTCAGCCCTTCCCCCAACTTGTCCATCATCTCTCAGGCTGATTTTCTCCCAGACCTACTCATCACTCAGACCCTAGTTTAGGTGCCTCTTTGTATAGATGGCCTTCCCTTACTCTCCCTAGTCTGGGTTCCTCCTCCCACCCTCGGTGCCCCCCTCCCCCAGACCTGGCACTTCTCTCCCTTTGCCCTGACTACCACTATTGTGATTTTCTCTTTATTTGGCAGGGCCTCTTGTGAGTCTGGAAACTCTGGGGTTGGGTCTGCATCTGTCTCATTCCCCTTCAAGTCCCCAACATCTAAAACGGCAACAATAAATCCTTCTGAAGTAAGTGAGTAAGAGGAAAGTGAATACTACCCGTGATGGGACAGTGAGGAGTCAGGAAGTTTTGGGGTTTTGCTTTGATTTTGAAGCAAGGAAATCATAGGATTCAAAAGGTATTCATTGAACACCTGTGCTGTTTTGTTTTATTTGTTTTTAAAATTGAGGCATTCATATAACATAACCTAATTCACATCACAAAAATTTCACCATTTTAGTACACAGTTTAGTGGCACTTATTATATTCAAAAGGTTGTACAACCATCACTGTATCTAGTTCTAAAATATTTTTGTCACATCAAAGGGATACCCCCTGCCCATTAAGCACCCACTCATTTCCCCTCTACTCCAGGCTCCAGCAACTACAGAAATCTGCCTTCTCTCTCTATGGATTTGCCTGCTCTGGATATTTCCTACAAATGAAATCATACCTGTGCCAGCTTTTTACTGAACTATTTCATTTAATCCTCATAACTACACTATTAGATATTAATTAGCCCGATAATAGGTGAAGCAACACAGCCATAAGAAGGGAATTAGCAAGACGTTCCACAGAATAAAGCAAGGAAAGGTCTGCACATCCGTCAGTCAGTCACTTGTTTAATGAGTATGTATTGATCACCCATCACAGAGCCACAGCCAGCCCATTGACACGCATTAGAATATAGCAGAGGACAACCTGTTGGGTCCCCCACAGCATGGAGAGCAGAGAGCAGGCTGGATATCAGCACCACTAGCCCCTCAGCCAGAGCTCGGTGCAGTGAACAACCTTTACCACCTTCCATGGCGGCCCTGACAACCCTGTGGTAGGCACTGTGCTAGCTGCTGGGGACAGAGCTCCCGCCACCATACAGCTTTCATTCTGGTGGGGAAGACAGACAATACACAAGAACTAAATAAGATCATTTCAGATCACGGTGACGGCTATGAAAAAATACAGTCGCTTCAGGTGATAGGGAGCCGTGGAGGGGGCTGTTACTTTCCATTAGTCAGAAAAAGGGGGGACTCACTGAAGAGGGGATGTTTGAGCTGAGATCTGAGTAATAGGGAAACAGCAACCATGCTCATCTAGGGGAAGAGCATTCCAGGAAGAGGAATCAGCCCTGACAAAGACTGACAGCAGGAGCAGGGCTGGCTTGTTCAAGCAACGTCAGGAGCCCAGCTGGATGGAGCACAGTAAGTGGGGAGACATGGGAGGAGTTGCCCTGGGGGGCTGTCAGCTCATGTGGGGCCTCATCAGGTCCTTCCCTCCATGAGATGGGAAACCACTGATGATCTAAGCAGAGGACTGAGGGAATATCCTCCGGCTTCTGTGTAAAGAATGGATTAGAGGAAGCCAGGGTAGAAGCAGGGAGGCCAGTTAGCAAGCTGTTGCTATCATCCAGGAGAGAGGGGCTGTGGCCTCAGGGTGCTCAGGTAGAAATGGGGAGAAGTGCTCAGGTCCTAGATATATTTTGAAGGTGAAGCTTATGTGATTTGCTGACTGGATGCCAGGTTTGAGAAAAAGAAAGGGACCGCGAAGAACTCCAAAGTTTTGTCCTGAGCAGCTAGTAGGCTAGAGATGTCCTTCACTCAAGTGGAAAGACTCCAGAAAGGAGAGTAAAAAAGAAAGGGACCACAAAGAACTCCAAAGTTTTGTGTTGGGGTCCAACCGCAACAGGTCCAGGGGTCCTCAAAGGTGTGGACAGAGTCGGCGAAGAAGGAATGACACGGAAACAGCGTTCAGTTGATCAGCAGCCTAGCCAGGATCTCTAGCCACGATCTCCAGCCAAGTTCTGGTCAGGATCTCCAGCGAAGTTCTGGTGTTTACTGTCTTGTTACATCTGTATTTATACCAGTTGATTTTAATCCTGTCAATTTCTATTGCAAAGGTTAGGGCGTTTCTTATCTCCATTCCAGGGAGTAAAGATTATGTAGCTTAAGCGTGATTGTTTGTAGTTAAAGTGATTAACTACCCACCTGGCACTTAGTTAAGGGGTTTTATCCCCTCCCTAACTTCAGGGAAAAATCCCTACCTGGGGAAACAACCTTTCTCAGAGAGGTGACCTTGGTTAAAACACATACCGCTAAGGGGAGCAAACATATTAAGAACAGTATGCTATATACGCCAGGTCCCTTGAAACATATGCTGTGCAGATGTGCTCAGGTCCTAGATATATTTTGAAGGTGAAGCTTATGTGATTTGCTGACTGGATGCCAGGTTTGAGAAAAAGAAAGGGACCGCGAAGAACTCCAAAGTTTTGTCCTGAGCAGCTAGTAGGCTAGAGATGTCCTTCACTCAAGTGGAAAGACTCCAGAAAGGAGAGGTTTGAGAGGGCAACCAGGACCTCAGTTTTGGACATGTTAGATGTGAGATGCCTGTGAGATATCCAGGTAGCATCCTAAGTAGGCAGTAGCATAAATTTGGCCAGAATGCAGGGGGAGATAAAGGCTAGAAATAAAAAATTTGGGCAGCAGCAAAATGTGGATGATTTTTAAAGCCAGTTATCTAGGTGTCAAGAGAGAAGAAGGCTGAGGGCTGACTTCTAAAGCACAGCAGGACGGGGAGAGGGGCTGAGGAGAAGCAGGAAAGAAGACTGAGGCATGGCCAGCAGCATGGTGGGAGGCAGACATGTGAGAGAGTGTCCTGGAGACCAGAGAAGAAAGTATTTCAAGGGCAAGAGCTTGGCAGTTATGTCAAATGCTGGTGATAAGTCAACTGAGATACAGATTGAGAACTGACTTTGAAATTGGCCAGGTAGAGGTCACTGGTGACTTTGGTAAGAGCAGTTTCACTAGTGCTGGGGATGAATGCCTGACTGGAGCAATGCACCAAGTATGGGAGCAGAGGAAGTGGTGACCACTTCTTCAAAGAATTTTGCTATAAAAGGATCAGAGAAGTCCTGGTTGGGTAGCTCAGTATCAGGACAACACCAAGGTTGCAGCTTTGATTCCTAGTCAGGCACATACAAGAATCAACCAATGAATGCATATATAAGTAGAACAACAAATCGATGTTTCTCTCTCTCTTTCTCCACCTTCTCTTTCTCTTTCTCTCTCTCTCTCTCTCTCTCTCTCTCAAATAAATAAATTTTTAAAGGAGCAGAGAAGTGGTGCAGTCACTAGAGGCGTGGGTGCAATCATGGAGGATATTTTTTTAGGCTAGAAGCTGTTACACCATGTGTGTAGGCTGGCCAGAATAATCCAGGAGAGA